CCCCCTATATGTCATTTTAGCTACCTTCTCAGGCTGTCCTATATAAAGATACGCATTGATCTATATCCGAGCTTTGTGTGCCTTCCTTTCCAAAACAGGTATAAAAGCATTTAACAGAACTTAGTAATACTGTCTCTGTATTACAGGTAAAGTGAGGACAAGTAGATCTTTCAATTTGCCCAAGGCCACCTGACACAGCCAGTGATTAGAACAGGACAGATTCTATAAGACAATCAGCAGAAAGGGAGAAACAACCTCCACAGTTCCAAACCCTCGTAGGGACTCAAGAGAACAAAAACTCAGGCCGGATTTCCTGAAATGATGTGTTCTTGTTTCAGTTTGAGCAGGGCATTGTTGACATCTGCTTCACACTGCTGTGCATGGGTGAACACCATCAAGGAGAGAAGGATCCCACCCAGCGCAGGAGCCCTGTCCACGTCTGCCGAGCAGTGGCTGCCATGGTAAGGAGAGCAGGCAGCAGCCCTGGCACTAGCAGGGTGCATCTTCTCAATCCCAGGGTGCATCTTCTCAGCCCCAGCTCAGGGCAACCCACTGACCAAAGAGGAAGCCTGCCCAGGGCTGTTCCAAACCCGACCTCCAGCCTGTCCTGATATTCTCACAGCAGACAAGTAGTGCTGCAGGAGTTTCTTAGCAATGACTTTATTCACTTACTGAATAAATCTCAGAGGACATTGCTGTGCTTGTTCTGCTCAGCCATGACCTTCATGCTTTGCACCAAAAAAATCCTCTTGGTTTCATCTGCCTTGGGAATGGCTTCATCAAACAGGATTGGGTTGATCTAGCAAAGAGAGGCAATTCCTTAATACATCTTTCTCTCCTCCTTCCCTGCAGCTGAACTGCAATGAGCTTAAAGGAATCCTGGCAGAGTGTGAGGCCGGGAAATACCGTAATGGGACACCCCCTTCCAAGTGGCTGGGAAGCAGCCCCATCCTCTGGCAGTGGATGGCATCGAAACGCCAGCCTGTCCGCTACGGGCACTGCTGGGTGTTTGCTGCAGTCATGTGTTCAGGTACCTCAAAGTGGTGCTTCAAAGACCTTCGTGTTGAGCAAAGCCTTATTTGGTCTGCAGGACCTCTAGCATATGCCTAAATTCCTGGATTAACACAGATCCCAGTAACACAACCCTTAATCTTTAGGTGAGAGGCAGATCCCCAGAGTTTCCTCGTCAGCACTGACCATCACTAGCTTTGAGATAAAAGAGTATCAGTACATCCATTCTCTGAAGGCACTTATGAGATCTTATTTCCTGAAGGGGCAAGGACTATTGCAAAGTCCAGACAGCAGGCCTGTGCCATTCCTAAAAGTCCTAGCACCAAAAAAGGCTCTACACCCATCAGCAGAGGCACCCTTAGGGCAGGATGCACAACTGATTCACGGCTCTCTCTTCTGCACAGTTCTGAGGTGCCTGGGAATCCCTACCAGGGTGGTCACTGGCTTTACATGGGCTCACAACACTAAGAGCAGCCTGAGTGTGGATGAGTATTATGATGAAGATGGGACACTGCTCACTCAGGACAAGCGTGCTCGTGTCTGGTAAGGAAACATGGCAGGGCCCAAGCAAGAATTTGAGACAACACCTGGATGTAGGAAGTGATGGGGGGGAGAACAAAGAGGTGAAAGAGCTGCAGGGAGGTGGATAGGAGACAGCTCAGCTGAGATCCTGTCTACATGACCTGTCCTTGATAAAGTGGGCAACCCAAACTGAAGAGTGCTTTATTATTAGGGCCCACAAAGGAAGAATGATAGCCCAGTCCAGCCAGAGAAATTCCACTTGTATCAAAAAACGTGGTCTCTGCTCTCCTCAACATGCACTGAACTCTTTCAAAGGAGCATTGACCGGCTGTGATTTGGCTAAAAATGTACTGTACCTCAGGGCCCAGTCCCTTGGTATAAGCTCGTGATGTCTCCTGCAGGACCTTCCACGTTTGGAACGAATGCTGGATGGCTCGGGCTGATTTGCCACCCCAGTACAGCGGGTGGCAGGCACTGGATGCCACCTGCCAGGAAAAAAGTGAAGGTAAGATACCAGAGATGGGCTTGAGAAAGGGGGGAAGAGGAGCAGTTCAGCATTCCTCCCTTCCCCAACTTCCAGTGGAAAGATGCAACAGGACAGGGACTCACCTTGCTGACTTTAGGCCCCAAATCATTATTTATCTGTTTGGTTTACGCAGCTTATGTAGCTTTAAGAGCTCTATCACAGCACTGCTTCCTAATGTCTTCCTGAACTAGATACTTCACTAATCCCAGTATAGGTCTAAACTAGGGATGGCTTTAGCTGGTAAAGCATCTGAATCTTAACTAGGCCACGTTTTCTCTTCAGGTCGATCCTTCTGTGGGCCAGCCCCTGTCCACGCCATCAAGGAAGGGGACACAGAAGTCGATTATGATGTTTGCTACTTCTTTGCTGCCATCAATGCCAAGTGTCAGGTCTGGATACAAAGAGCAGATGACACCCTTAAGCCAGCTTTTGGTGGCACAAAATACACTGGTAACAACATCAGCACCAAGAGTGTTGGCAGTGAACGCTGTGAGGACATCACACACAACTACAAATATCCTGAAGGTATGGGGTTGGCCAGTGGCTGAGCACCTTCCTTGGCAGTGTTGCAAGTGAAGAGGAAAAGGCTAGAGAGCAGAGCCAAACCAAAACACCAGGGTCATCCACTTCTCACAACTTCCCCTTCTTCAATGGCACGAGAACACCCAACTCTGTCTACAGAACCAAAGCCTAAATTTCATCTGCTTAATTGCATTAACCAGGTCTGTGGATGGCTGGGTGTTTCTTTACCAGACACTTCCACATCTGGAAAAACTTTTCTGGTTCCTGTTGCCTCTACACTCTGTACATTCACCTCCCATTACCTCTGTAATAGATAGACAGACAGATAGATAGAACTATTTCAGACCCCAGATTTCTGAAAAGGACTGTTATGCTCTCAGATATTGCCTAAATCTCTCCCTGAAAAAGTAGCTTCAGAATGTGAGTGCTGTTTCCCTGACCCAACCCTGCCATCTCATCTTAGGCTGTGGCATGTTGTCTCCTTGGCTGCAGTCCATCACATGAGAACACAGCCCTGTGCCTCAGCTACAGCAACAGTTAAAGAGGCCAATGCCTCCTTTACTCTGACAGATGTTAGCACCAAGGTGCTTTAAAAGCTATGACAACTCTTCCCAAGTAGAATCTGTCAGGTACATCTAATGAATATCCTGTCAGCAGAAATTCTTGAACTGCTCCAACCAGAAGCTCAAAAGGATATCTCTCTATGCTCTTAGAAACAGTTATCTACAGCAGTGCCAGGATAAATCAATGCCATTCTCCTGCACTTGCTGCTTCACACTAGTAAACTGGAAAGGATACTAAAATACGTGTTCCTTTTTGTGACAGGCTCTCTTAAGGAAAAAGGAGTACTTGACAAAGCCTACAGAAGTATAAGGAAACTTGAGACAACCACCAGCAGCAGCTCAACAGTGTTTAGCTCCATTCCTATTGCCCTTGAAGAGCCAGTTAACCTTTCCCTCCACCTCCAGTCGAGTAGTTCTCTGCAACCAGGACAAGATATTCCACTTTCCATTGAAATGTCTAACCACAGTGGTGAAGAAAAGGCTACTCAGCTGGTAGTTGGGGTCCAGTCTCTACATTATAATGGTGTGCCTATTACTCAGCTTTGGAAGGAAGAGTTTAATTTTAACCTCCAAAGCAATGAAGGTAAGGACTCGGCTGAGTGCATGGCTAGAAAAGTGTATCTAGTTCTCACTTCAGAAAAAATGCTCTTAGCCATAAGTTTACAAAAGGTTGTCTGAATAGTTGATTGTAAATGATTGCCCAGAGAGGTTGTGGAGTCTCCCTCATTGGAGATATTCAAGGACCATCTGGACACAATCCTGTGCCATGTGCTCTGGGATGACCTTGCTTGGGCAGGGAGGTTTGACCACATGATTCACTTCCAACCTTACCCATTCAGTGATTCTGTGAAATACAACACTTTGGCAACACCACCTTAGAGATTTTCAATCTGTGAATCCAGCTGGGATCACTTAAGCATTTAAACACTGCAGCTTTCAGTACAATGTTGGGCACTAAACACTCAGAGGTGTCACGCAGGCAAAGACCAGACTTCTACTCATCATCTGTTATTTCACCACTCTATTCCAGTCCACAACCTGAAGATCCTTGTGCCTTACTCATGGTGTGGAAGAGAGCTGGGGGAGACCCACCTGCTCAGGCTGACTGCTGTGCTGAGAGATGAGGCCTCCTGCTACATATACCTGGCACAGGAAGAGATCAGCGTTTCTGATCCCCTTCACACTATTGAGGTTAGACTGGGCTGTCATTCTGTTACTGCAGTAGGGAGAAAACAGCTTTCACAGTCACAGGCAGCAAAACAACTCTGCTGGTTCAGTGGCTCTCCTCATGCCTTGTTCTTTCAAAGCACTGGGATATCAGTTTGGGAAAGGTGAGTTGGGCCAGTGTTGTACACAGTGCTCCCACTTCTGCCTTTTCTGTGTGTGTGCATGAGGAAATCCTGATGACTCCTAACTCACTGACTACTCTGGAAATCAGAGGCTGCAGAAGGAAACTAGAGCAGAAGAAACTAACCTGGATTTTGCCTCTTCTGCCAACTGGCAGCTTTGGCACCAAAAATTATACATCTCCCTTTAATCACAGAAGAATCTTTCTCCTTCTCTCAGTTTCAGCTCATTTCCTTCTTTCAACAGCTTCCAAAAACCATGGTACAGTATCAGCCAAGCACAGCAAGGATCAGCCTCCTGAACCCTTTCCCCAAACCCCTGGAACAGTGTGTGGTAGCAGTTGCAGGGCAAGGGCTCATTTACAGACAGAGGAAGTACAGGTAAGTGCAAACTGATGGATCTGAGAACAGCAAATGGAAAAAGAGACACAATACAAGCTAGAGAAACCCTTGCACAGGAAAGGCTATCCCCAAAAATAACCAGGCAACAACATGGCAGGAAGACACTGCTTTAGCATGAAAGCCCCAGGCATTCTGTCCTTTATTTACATACAATACAGAAGATTTTCACACTCAAAAGGAGAAGCTAACAGAACTTCCAACAAATGTGTAACGCATAAGTTGAAGCCAATATGGCATCTGTGAAAGCTTCAACCACAAAGGCCTAGACAACAAAAGGAAAAGCTTCCTGCCAACAAAAGGATAACAAGAGAAATACCACAAGACTTAGTCAGAAACTCACATTAAATAAGACAAGCTAGAGGTCACTGAAATGAGCCATGAAGTTCAGAAATTTGCTGTTGAGAAATCAATTACTTTTTAGTGAGCCACTTGAACATGCTTAAGTGGAATAAAACTATACTGTTTGTGACATATCTTTCCACCCATTTCCCACTGTAAGCAATAAAGACAGTCCCTGGGTACAATTGTAGTGGTGTCTTCCCCTTCCCAACTGAAGAACCAGGCAAATGTGACTTAACCAAGAGTCATCCAAAAAGGTGTGCTCTCCTGCACAGGACAAACACCCCACATTTATCTGAAGAAGCTGCATTAGGACAAAGTCACCTTAGATGGCTCCATGGGGAGTTTCAACTTTCCTGTCCTACCTCCTGCCCAAACTACTGTCAGATGACAATTCCATTGTGGTAGTTTAGATAACTGCTAGCTTTCTTCTATTTCTTTTTCTCCTTTCTTTTTACTTTTGGCACCACACTCCTGTCTACCAAATGCATCTCCTAGGCCCAGGGAACCAGAAATACAGAGAGGTGTGATTCCTGTATAATCCCTTCTCACCTTTCAGGTTGGGATCTGTGCAAGCTAAAAGCACTCAAGAGCTGCAAATCCCATTCACCCCCATCCAAGCAGGGCCCAGGAGACTCACTGCACAACTTACCTGCCCTCAACTCCAGAGCCTGAAGAGCTACAGAACTACTGACATTGCAGCTGCCTGAGGCCCAGCTTGGAACAGGTCCTGCTTACAAAAGAGTGGTCATGATCTGTGCCCTGATCTTAGGCAAGCACAGATGTTAACAGTTTAATAAAAGTTAAGTTTAAAACCATGTCTGATTTTGATTATTTGTATAAATTCAACTCTCTCCCATCTGGCACTATGTCCACTCTCCAGTTTCAGAAGTTGAACCTTACTGTGACAAAGATGGGCTGAAGGCTCAAGCAGACATTTCTCACCACACACATGTGCTGAACCCACCACTGCTGAGGCATTTTCCCTCCCTGTGAAAACAAAAGGATATCCTGGAACTTTAAAGTGATGATACATGTAGCAATTCTCTAGAGATACACCCCTCTCCCCCTACAGATCCTTGATATTAATAAAGTAGTAAACAGTATTTTCTGCTGCTTTCTGAGGAAATAAATAATAGAAAGCTGTTCATTGCTCTCTAAGGTTAAACAGGAAACAGCAACAGTGCAGCATATTTTATAATGGTTCATTGGGCTGCTTGCAAAAGAAGCAAGACCCCTTCCTTCGGTATATATCCTCTGCCACCTGAAGACAGATAAAGCAACTAATGCAAATCTAGCAATATTTTATTGTTCTTTGAACCCCACAGTAGTTGTAATGTCTGAAGAATGGGGCAGGTTAAGATGCAGCACTGCATCATCCCAAGAATCCAAGTAAAATGACAACTTCTGCAATGGCAAAGAGCAACTTCCTGGAAAAGTTTTTCCAAGTGGCAGTAAGGTTCTCTCCTAGAAACATTGTTCTCATCATTCTCCAAGCAGCTGAAGAACAGCAAGATTCACTGGAAAAGCACATGCCAGAGCCAGTGGCAGCAACACACGTAGGCACAGGAGAGCTAGAGTTGACCCTGCGTGAAGTTCTTGATTTTGTTCATGTTGTGATCTACTGCACCATCTAGAAACTGCACCCAGCCTTCCTCTGATGGTGGACACACATGGCTTGTCCTGCAAAAGTGGAGGAAATTCATTAGGAAAGCCTCCTGGGTGTCCTACATCTATGCATCCAGGCAACACAGGGGTACTGTGAAGTGCTGAATAACCACAGCACTAAACAGGGCTGCTATAGCCCCAGAGGGCTTTGAGCAAGGAAGAACCCACATTCATGTATGTAGTCCCAAACCTTAACACACATGTGTGTGTCTTCAGTGGGAACTGCTTTCATCCCTACCATCCTTTTCTTAGTCTCACCCCTCAGATAACATCATAACTACTCCAAAATGTCAGCATTTACTGTCTAGAAATGAGTCATGTTTGACACGAGGCAGAAAGGTCTGAACTTTCATAGCAGGGAACACACACTAATAAAACAGTAGCTCATACTCACTTTGCAATCTCTAAGACCTTCTTTAACACTGAGGCCAACTTAGCAGCCTAGAAGGAAACAAAAGGGAAATGAAGTGAGCCAAACATGATGAAAAACAGGGTCTCAGCAGTACTGGAAAGGAAAGAGAAATGCAGGAATGCTCAACAGCCAAAAATGAGTAAAACTGCCACCAATCCTGATGCAGAATGGAGTTATCTATCACTGCCAAGCTGGAAATGTCTCCCACCCTACTGCTGGCTGGGACAGGTGAAAATAAAGACATGTATGGTTTTTAAAGCATACATTAAAATGCTTTATTTAAAAAAAAGACAAGCCTATTAGAAATTGGTAACTGATATTAAGATATGAAGTCACAAGTGACTGACTTTAATGCAGTTTGATATTAAGCAATACTTTCTTTTTTATTGCAAAAAATCATGCCACTGGCCAAAGGCATGAAACCAGTCTTGTCACTGGACATCTCTATGGATTACAGCTCAGAGCTAAAGCTCCAAGTGGTCATGCCCTTCCCAGAAGAGGTAAAGATGAGGAATGTATTTCCACCTGAAGGAAGCTAAGGAAGCTAAGAACCACTCTTCAACCCTAAGAAATCTTTACTGAGGCAGTCACTAACACCCACCTCTCCCTGACAGTCACATAACCCCTCCAATTTGATTTCTCCCCATTCTCTACAGCCCAGTCCCACACACAGGCTGCAGATACTCACATTAAGTCGCACAGCCAGAGGGTTCACAGGTGGGTACATGCTCAGTGCCAGCTCATCAACACTAGGATAGAAAAGAGGGGAGCAATGGAAGAAAGGTCCTGCCAGCACAACTCATGGATCCTGGTCCAAGCCCACACCCAGCCCTGAATGTAAGTCAGGAACAGCAGTGCATGACAAGCAGACATCACTCATAGCCATGGGATGTGCCCCTCTCACCACAGCGTGAGATGTGGCCACAGCTCCACCCCAAATTGCAATGTCTGTTCCCCTCCTGACCTGCACAACTCTCAACAGCTTATACCATAATAGTCTCCCCAACACCTGCTCACAGCTCCAGTATCATAAAGGAGGTCCTAATCCATTCTCTAGACCTCGAGACCAGGGCTGCTCCAGAGCAAAAAGCAGCACAGGGAGAGACCTGCTTACCTTGGACTGATCTCATTAGCAATGTCTGCAAGGTCATCCAGCTGAGCAATCTGCTCTGGAGAATCAGCTTTGCCATAGGCCTTCACTGCACCCAGGACCTTCTTCAGGCAAGCTTTGGAAGCCTTCATTAACCCCATGCAGGAGCTCAGCAGCTGCCGGTCACCTTCTGACCAATATGTGTCTCTGTTGCCCCGAAAGCCCAGCTCCTCATCTTCCATGATGTCACCATAGGGATCCTGCCCTTCCACCAGTGCCTGAGAACACAGATGCACTGAAAACCCAGAGCCTGACATCAATGCCAGCAATACCCGGGAGGAAAGGGAGAACATCATCTAGACATCATGCAAATAATTAATGGGGGAAATCTCAGCTGGTTAATCCCAGAACTGGATTAAGATAAATTAATCCCCCACTCTAATTCAACAGTGCAAACAGCAAGAACCTGGTAAATACTGCCATTCCTACATCACCCTAAACTTCCTCCCACAATCTCCCATGTCCCCCATTTCAGGACATGGCTTTATGGATACCTTACATCAAGTAAACCCGGTTTGAGATTAAAAACTCATTAAAATCCATGCAAAAACCAATAACCTAGGTCATATCAGAACAAATTTAAACCAAAGCCTGTATATAAAACAATCCCTGCATTCCATCACTGAACCACCATAGAGGGTGGTGGGGCACTGGAACAGGGCAGTGGTCACAGCCCCAAATTTGCCAGAGCTCAGGCATTGTTTGGACAATGCTCTCAGGCACATGGTGGGATTGTTGGGGTTGCCCTGTGCAGAGACAGGAGTTGGACTCGATGATCCTTGTGTGTCCCTTCCAACTCAGGATATTCTGTGAGTCTACAATCCACCACTGCAGGTTCCTCTGAGGCTCAGGGGCTTCCTTACATGTTCCATCTCCTCCACAGCGTCCTTGACCACACCCAGACACGCAGTCAGAGCTGATGCAACTGCTGCCTGGTTATCTGCAAAGGAAAAGGATAAAAATTGTGGCACCCCACTGTTTCAAATCAGTTTGCAACAACCTTCATCTGGGTTTGCCATCATTAGATCTTGAGACTGCAGGATCATACTTCTTGCAGAGCTCAGAGCTGCACTGTTGTCATGCAAAGAATCTGGCCCGGCTTCCAAGTTTATACATTTCAAAACCAGTCGGGTTTTGGAGAATGAGTGAGCCTTCATTGTACCACCTAGAATACCTTTGCAAAGGCTACTGATTTTCCAAGACAACACATCGTAGTCCTGTTGTTCTGCATTTACAACACTCACCTCGTGGCAGGTTGGACACTTGTTCACATGCCTCCCACACACCTCCAGTGGATATAAGCTGTTCCTGAGACAAGCTGAAACAAAACAAAAGCCCCCAAAGTTAGACTCAAGTATACTTGTTAACAAGTATACTTGTAACTTTTTCTTCCCTTTTTTCCAAAAAATTATCATAAAATCATAGAATCATGTGATTAGAAATTACCTCTCCACTGGAGCATTGAGAATTGTGTCTGTGAGCTGGATCATCCCTTCCACTACTTCAGTGGTAGCATCTCGTACCATCTTCCGGAGAGTAGTACCTGGGTGAGATTGAGAAAGAGCAAGAAAGCTGCCACAGTCAGCACTGACAGAAAGCAACTGCTGAGATGAACACAAAGATGAACACAGAGACTGCTCTGTTTGTGTGGATACACTGTATAAATGAAGTTACAGGTATTTGGAAGGAGGCAAGATGCTTCCCAGTTCCAAAAGGACTCTGGACAATAATTTCAACACTTCATAAATACCAACACTCAATCAACTATACAACTTCCTACATTATCATTCTTCCACAGATGGAAATCTGCAGGAGTAGACAGACAAGTAGTTCATTCATAAACACGTTCAAAGTCTACAGAACAGCTGATAATGGGATAACCTGCTAATGAAAGTTTGCTTTCCTGTGGATGTCAGATCTCATACTGGGCTCTGAAATATGGGGTTTCTTTATACAGGGGTGGCTGCCTTGCTGTCACTATCTCACCTTGGCCCTTGGGGAGCCAGTAGTATACTGTGGCAACTGCAAGAATGGCATTTTGGACATCTTCACTCAGCTTCCTGCAATCCTGAAAATGGAGATGCAAAAGGATCGCCTTCAGATCATCATGAGTAGCACACAGCTGCAGCATATTTAGAAAGTCTCACAAGCAATCACTGGCTTTCAGACTGCTTTGAGAAAAGGGAAACATAATAATGGCCGTCCTGTTTGAGAAACAAATCCAACACAAGAAGAAAACACAAATAAACAAGCTGTATGCATAATAACATGACTGGGTAACAAAACACGCCCTGGTGTGGTGGTCACACACCAGAGAGGAAGAAGTAGCTTAGATCATTATTCTGGAGATTTTTTATTCCTGTCCAACAAACACAGGTGTGATAAATTTCTCTCAATTAATAGCAAAAATATTTCATATTCTTTGTTGGATCTAAAGTCTGTATTCTCCAATATTCTGTTTCTATCAGCAACTAGCTGCAACTGCTAAAGAATATAAGAACACTTCTAGTAAGTATGTCTCCTTAGCCTATAGAAATTAGTTCTCTGGGCAGCTCTTGGATTGTGTTAATGGACTCTACAATACACAGTCCATAGTGACATCCCTTGTTTGCACTGGATCAAATTGTTTTAGTCAAGTGAACCAAGAGACACCTGAACCTTCATGCACAGGGGCAATTTCACAGTCTGTGGAGGCTTTCACTCACCTCTGCAGAAGGTAGCGGAGGCCTTGAGAACGCCAGACTCAGCTTTGTAGCTTCCTGTGACGTTACTTGGAATGTCTGACCTAGAAAAAATCCAATGGGAGCAAAAGAAAAGAAAGTAACTTGGGTAAAAGATAAAAGAACAGAGCGGCTTGATGAGCGACATCTCTGATGCTACTACTTGATTATCATTACTTGCTTGATTATCATTACTTCCTTCCAAGCCATACAAACATATACACTAAATCCCACTCCAAAGCAGAATTCCATGGTGCCATGCATGTAGCTTGTGTCCTATGCCTGCTTTTTTTCTTTTTCTTTTTTTTTTTTTT